TTCCACTCCCATTGCCATTCCCATTCCAAGGCCCCGCTCCCATTCCCCTTCCCTGCCCTATTCCCGCTTCCTTTCCCGCTCCCATTCCCCTTCCCTGCCCCATTCCCGCTCCCTGCCCCATTCCCGTTCCCATTCCCGCTCCCATTCCCCTTCCCTGCCCCATTCCCGCTCCCATTCCCTCACCTCGCAGCCATCCCTTCCCGCCGCTCAGCGCCGCCATCTTGGCCGTGGCCGCGCAGGGCCTTGTGGGAAGGTGGAGGACAGCGCCACTTCCTGTCTCCCCCCGTCTCCATGGCAACGGCATCGCCACAGCGCGGCCTGCGCGGGGCCGGGGGTCCCTGAGCCCCCAAACCTGGGCAACCAGCGCCCAGAGATCTCCCTGACCCAACCCCGGGGGTCCCTGAGCCCCCAAACCTGGGCAACCAGCGCCCGGAGAGCTCCCTGATCCAACCTCGGGGGTCCCTGAGCCCCCAAACCTGGGCAACCAGCACCTGGAGAGCTCCCTGACCCAACCTCGGGGGTCCCTGAGCCGCAAACCTGAGCCCCCAAAGCCCCGTGGGACCGGAGGAGCTCCCCAAGAGTCTCTGAGGTCCCCAGGCTGGGGGTCCTGGTCCCTGTGATCCCCCAGCTCCGCTTCGGTGACTCCACAGCCCCCTGGATACAGGGACCCTCTGCCCCACCTGGGGGTCCCAGCTCTGACCCCCCACCATCCCAACACTCCTGTCCCCATTCCACAGATCCCTCCCATTCCACAGATTTCTGCCTCCCCTTTCGCTCAGACCCTTCCCCTTTCAGCCCCCCCCCCAGACACCCACCCGAGGGCACGAGGAGGGGACAAGGACCCCCCCAGGCCACCCCCTGCCATGGCTGGGCAGGAGGAGAAGACCCTTTGTGGGGGTGAGTGAGACATTGTGGGGTGGGGGCTCCTCCCAGCAGGGAGGGGATGGGGAGGGGGCTGCACCCCCCAGCCTGGACCCTCACCCTGAGATCCCACAGACCGTGAGGGGACGTCCCCAGGAGTGACCCTCAGCGACAGCCTCGTCCTCACCAGGAGCAGGTGAGGACCCCACGGACCTTGGGCTGGCAGGGAGGGGTCTCTGGGCACCCCAAAGACACCCCCCCTCCATCCTTTTCCTGCAGATCCACGGAGCTGCTGCCCCCCTCCGCCATCCGCCTGGACCGGGAGAACATCTCCTCCATCGGGAAGCTCCAGGATCAGGGAGGGATCCACAGCCTCTACCTGCAGCAGGTACGGAGCTGTGGGGCAGCTGAGACCACCCCTGGGCCTGGGGGGGACACACAAACCCCCCCAGATCTGCTCCTGTCTCCCCTCCCCAGTGTCCAGAGGGGGGGGAAAACAGTCTCCCTCCATCCAGGGGGGATTCTGGTCCCAGTGACCACCCCCCACAGCCCCACCCCAGAGGTCTCTGAGCCCCCCAAACCTGGAGGAAAAACGGTTTCCCTCCCATCTGATACCAATCCCACTGGAATTCCAGCGAGGGTCTGGGATCAGCCCCCTGGTGTTTCCAAACCCCACACGAGGAGCCTCGGGGTCCTCCTGAATTTTGGGGTCTCTCCATGTCCTCATCCCTGCAATTCCCTCTCCATGGCCTCCACAGTGGGACATTCCACCCCCAATCCCAGGACACTCCCAAAATCCCCAATTTTTTCACACCGCAGGAAAAACGCGTTGTTATATTTAATTTTCTATTTTCTACTTTATTTTCTGTTTTCTATCTTTTTTATTTTCCAGAACAAAATCGAGAGGATCGAGAATTTGGGCTCTTTTCCCAACCTGAGGTACAGCAGCTCCTGCTCCCAGGGAAATGGCTTTCCATGGGCTCCCACCTTCCCTTGGCCAGGGAGGGGGGCTCAAATTCCAGCCCCTGGGAGCTGTGACATCCCCCCCTCACCCTCCCCGTGCTCTCCAGGTTCCTCTGCCTGGCTGGAAACCGCATCCAGAGGGTGGAGAACCTTCAGCCCCTGCCTCACCTGTGTGCCCTGGACCTGTCCCACAACCTCATCCAGGTGCTGGACACAGGTGGGAAGCAAGGAAGGGATGCTGGAGCTGCCAGTGTGTGTGTGGAATGTCCATTCCCACCTTCCCTGCCTCAGTTTTCCTGGCTCTGGAGGTGTCAGGGCTGCTCTAGGAGTTGCCTTGGGAGTGGGTGAAGAGCTGGGGGAGTTTGGGGGAGCAGGAATTTGGCTGGAGGGTTGGGAGGGCTCAGGTCCCACCTCAGCACCTTTGTGCTTCCTTTTGTCCTGGCCAGAGGAGCTGCCCCGGAGCCTCCAAATCCTGGATTTAACGGGAAACGAGTGCACCCGGCAGCAGGGATACAGGTGGGTCAGGGGGAGAGGAGGGGGAGAACAAACCCCCCCAAAAAAACCAGGGGAGCCTCTCAGCAGGGTACAGCCCCCCCCAAACCAGGAGAAGCTTCGGGGTGACCTAATTGTGGCCTCCCAGTGCCTAAAGATGGACGGAGATTTTGGAAAAAGGGCCTGGAGTGACAGGACAAGGGGAATGGCTTCCCACTGCCAGAGGGGTAGATGGGATATTGGGAAGGAATTCTTCCCTGTGAGGGCAGTGAGGGGCTGGGATGGATTTCCCAGAGAAGCCGTGGCTGCCCCTGGATCCCTGGAAGTGTCCAGGGCCAGGTTGGAGCAACCTGGGACAGTGGAAGGTGTCCCTGCCCCTGGCAGGGGGTGGGTGGTCTTCAGGATCTCTTCCAACCCAAACCATTCCACGAGACATCAAATCCAAACCCCCAAGCCCAGGGATGTGAATTCCTGCCCTGTGGCCGGGCTGGGGGTGGGTCCCAGGGGGGTCGGTGCCACCTCAGGTGGGAGGGGACATCGGCTCTTCCCTCATTTTTTCCAGGGAGCTGGTGTTGGGAGCGCTGCCCCACCTCCTGCAGCTGGATGCCCGGCCCCTCCGTGGCAAGGAAGAGGAGGGAGGAGGCTCTTCCCGTGGCGAGGATGAGGATGATGAGCTGCTCCCCGAGCCCAGCGGCCCCTTCACCGTGGACAAAGGTGCGCAGGGGGCTGAAGGGGACACGTGGCACTCCTGGGGACAAGGGTGGCAGTGCCACATCCCCCCTAATCCTTCTCCCTCCTCGCATCCCCGGCAGGTTTCTTCGCGGATCTGCGCCGGGAGCTGGCCGGGCGCTCCCAGCGGCGGCGGAGGGAGACGCTGGAGGAGCACCGGGAGCGGCTGGAGGAGCTGCAGGAACGCCGGGATCTGCTGCTGAGCCGGGATCGGGATCGGGATGGAGCCCCCGGCCCCGCGGCCCCGCAGCCCCGGCAGGGCCATTCCCGGCCCCGGGCACAGCCAGGGACACCCGTCCCGGGATCCCGCGGGTCCCAGCGAGCTCCTGGTGGCGTCCAGTCCCGGAGCAAAGCTCTGGAGAAGGAGACTGGTTCCAAAGGAACAGGGAATAGGCAGTTATCCCAAATATCCCGTGGCCGGGAGTAAAGGTTTTGTTCCCACCCCAATCCCGTGTGGATGCCATGGATCCCCCACCCTGCAGCCATCCCGGGGGCCTGGCACAGGCAGGGCTCCAAATCCCACTCCACATCCCTCTCCTTCCCCCTGCACCTCATTCCAGGCCATGGACACATCTCAGTGCTTTCCTCCGGGATAAATTAGGGGCTGGAGTTTTTTCTCCAGGATAAATTAGGGGCTGGAGGTTCCACACCCCCAGGCAGGGCTGGAGGAAGCAGGGAGCCAGGGCTGGACACCGGGAATGTTTCCTCATTCCCTACCCAGGAGCAATTCCAGGGGGGAAGCCGAGCCCACTCACCTGTGGGGTGGTTTATGTGTAAAACTTCAGCTCTGCCTCCACGCAGTCGAAGAAGAGGTCGGCCAGTTCCTCCGGGTGAGGGGTCTCTGTCCCCTCCAGCAGCGCCTTCATCCCCTCCAGGCCCTGCTTCTCCAGCTCCTGCAGCGTCTCCAGGAGCTTCTGGCCCCGCTCCTGGTGGGATCGGGGAGGGAGGAGAGCTCAGGGAATCTGATCCTCATCACAGGGGGCAGCGTGAGGGTCCCAGAGCGGGGAAGGGTCTGCAGGGTCTCTGGGGTCTGTGGGGTCTGTAGGATCTGTGGGGTCTGTGGGATCTGCAGGGTCTGTGGGGTCTGTGGGATGTTCGGGGTCTGTGGGATCTGTGGGATCTGTGGGGTCTGTGGGGTCTGCAGG